TCTACCACTTCATTTTGTTAAGGAGTTCTTGGTGTAGAGAAGTTATGTCTGATTCCATTTCATCACAATAATTCACGAAGTCACCATTTTCAAATTCTCCTCCATAATCAAACCCGATTGACATTATAGAAATACCCTTCTCATTTTAGACCTTTTAGGCAAATACATTAAAGGCATAAAAAGTTTCATTTTTAAACTTAAGAAAGTAAGTCCAAGAAAATCTAGAGTAATCATCAACAATAACTAAAATATAGAGATTTCCACCAAAACCTTTTGTTCTCATAGGACCCACCAAATTCATATGTAAGAGCTGAAGAGTTTTTTCAAATGAAATAAAATCTTTAGACTTAAACAAAGATTTAGTTTGTTTTTCAAATTGATAGGCTTAGAAAACTTTTTTTCATCAAAGCTTAAGGGTGGTAAACTAATAACTAAATCATTTTATAAAAGTTTTTCAATTTGTCTTTTGTTTACATAAGCCAAGCATCTGTGCTACAAATAAATTTCCCTAAATTTACTTAGAAAATAGGTTTAAGAAAGAGGTTTATAATCTAAATCAACAGTATAAAAATTACCATCTCTATCAGCATGAAGAAGTATCTTCCTATCTACTTTTTGTTGAATAATGCATTCCTTTGAGTCAAAGATGACTCTGTTTCCTTTGTCACAGCTTTGACTTATGCTTATTAGATTGTGAAAGAGACCTTTGATATATACTACTCCTTTAATGCTTCTTTTCCTCTTCCCATATTTCTAAAACCAACAATATGACCTTTTTGATCACCTCTAAAAGTGATATGACCACAATCTCTTTCATGTAGTTCTATGAATTAATTTAAATCTCCGGTCATGTGTCCAAAGCACCTCTTAGAGATAGTGAGGCATACTTGATCTAATTGTGATTCAGTTAGGTCTATTTCTTGTGCTATAAGGTATAGGCTTGCTATCTCCTCTTCCTCTTCTTTATCATTTGAGGAGCTATCTCCCCATGCAGTAAAGGCCTTCTTCTTCTTCTAAGGCTTTTCCTTTTTCTTCTCCTTTTCTTTTTTCTTTTGCTACTAATAACAATCCCATTTGATATGTCCTAATTTCTTGCATTCATAACATGTCAGTGGCTCCTTTTGATCTTTCTTGTTGCTTGAAGATCCTTTTTTTGAAGTTCTTCTTTCCTCGATAGAATCTTTTAAATTGTCTGACCATCATGGCAAATTCTTCATCTTTGTCAGATTCTGCTTCTGATTCATCTTCATCGAATTTCAGAGCAATGCCTTTCTTCTTTTTGCCTATATCTTCCTTGTATTGAAACAAGGTTGATTCATGTTCTTCAAGGCTTCTAAAGAGTGCAGCTACCAAGCTCATTGATACTCCTTGTGCCTTTGTAATGGTAGTGATTTCGAGTTGCCATTCCATTGGAAGACTCTTGAGAGTTTTTCTGACTTGTTCAGCTTAAGTGTAAGTTTTGCCCAAATTTATCAAATGATTGATAATATGAGTAAAATTTACTTGCATATCTTTGATTGCTTCTCTTTTCTTCATCTTGAATGTCTTATATTTATGAATGAGACTACTCTTCTTATTTTCCTTAATGCCATCAATTCCTTCATGAGCTTGTCTCAAGGCATCCCACATTTCTTTTATAGTAGTGCAGTGAGTAACATGATAATATTTCATTTTATTGAGAGCATAGGCAATTGTAAGTTTTGCCTTGGCATTAAGATTTAATCTTCTTTTGTCCTTATCAACCATTCTTCTCTTGTTTTTTGTCTCATCAGGCCATCATCTCCAAGAATCATAGGGGCATATATGGACCTTTGGTAGCGATGTCCAACTTCTCAATATCTTGAACTTTAGGATACATCATCATTCTGCTTTTCCAGAAGGGCTAGTCTTCTCCTTTGAATGCAGGACGCCTCATTGTTGACATACCTTCTCCTAAATTATCATATGCAAAATTAGCTATTAGTAGAATCTTTTACTCAAATATTTAAGTCAAATACTGATACCAATTGTAAATGCCCCAAGAGAGGGGTAAATTGGGCTAATTGAAAATTAAAATGAAATGCTGTAATAATAAGTGAGATGAAGGAATGAAATCACCAATCATGAGGGTTAAAAGAATAGAGCTTGACATAGATAATTTATCCTAATTTGACTCCTACCACTTGAGTCTATGTCTAGTCCCCAAGAACCTCTTGAGATTTCTAACTATAATACCAAGATTAATTTGGGCTCTTGGTTGTCGCAGTACATAAACAACTTTTCAATAAGTCTAAAACTCTCCCCCTTACAAAGGTAATAATAATAAATCCCTTTAAGCTCCCTGAGCTTAAGTTCCTCTATTTTGAAGATGTAAAATAGGGATAAATAGAGTAAGTTTAAGAATGAACTACTACTTCTTTTAAACTCTCTTTTAGAGTAGGTATATAATCAATGAAGCTCTCTATCAATAAATGATACACAGAAGATAGGTAAACTTTGATACTCAAAATAAATGTAGAATGTTCTTGTTGTTCTCGTCGTTCCTCCTTATTTAGTTTTCATAAATGAGTCTATTTATAGTTGAGAATCATAAATGATCCATTACACTCATAAATTTTTCTATTGGAGATTGCTTACGATCTATTTCCTTCTAGCTTTGAGTTTCCTTGGATATTTGAGCTTCTCTGAGGTTCTCGAGTGGACTAGCCAATGGAACAGTGCTTTACAGTAGAGACTTCCTCTTTTGTACAGTAATGGCTAAAAGCATTAAATGCTTTTGACAAAAGTGGTTGAAGCTTATACGTTTTGATATAACAGAAAGCAAGCTCAATGATTAAAATAAATATTAGCAGCCAGTAGAACTTCAACGGAATAATTGTTTTTTAGATATCATTTGGTAAGGATATAGAGTGAACACAATTGATTTTAGATGAAAAGAATGATTTAAAAGATGAGTTCTGATGACCTTTTAAAAGTGATATAAAAAATAGAGTACAAAGATTCATAGTAGTACCAGTGTTACTACGATCTAGCACCGGTGTTACTGTAACATCCCAAAAATTTTAAGACTCAGATTTATTTTAAAAAATAAAATAAAATAAAATATCTATAATTAAATTAAAATTTAGAATAATTTGATAGAGGTCTAGAGTTTGAATTTTTCTCAGCAAAAGTTTGGTTTTATTTGATTTTTAACTATGGGACAAATTACCAAATTTGACCCGGGCTTTTGTGCTATAATAAAAAATATTGGGCCCTTTCTTGTAATTTTTCCCAAAGTCTTATATCAGCCTTTTTAAGGGGAAAAAAGACGCAGAAAACAAAATTGAAACAAGAAAGAAAACAAACGCACGAGAGAGAGAGGAAGAAAAAAGGAGAAAGAGATGGAGTTACGCTCGGATCTAGGAGGCTTTGCGGCCGTTGCGAGCTCGGCTACGCGATAGGTAAACTCCCTACTTCAATCCTCTTCCCTTCCTCTTTGTTTTTCTCAATTTTTGGAAAAGAAAATTTGTGGATTTTGATCCCAAAGGCTTTATTCTTGCAAGCTTTTATTTTTTTGGATCCTATGGAGGATGTTTGAGTTTCTATATAGTGATATATATTTTGAGTGGATAATTGGATGAAAAGAGGTGTTTTGGGCACAAATTAAACCCTAAGAGATTGGGTTTTTCTCCTCAATAGTTTAAGCTTATTGATTTAGTTATAATTTTGCTATTTTGAGCCCTATAAGATTTAAATTAAGGTTTGGTTTTCATTATAAGGGCTAATGGTGAAAGTTGGTGACACTAAGTGAAGGTTTTTAATTGATTAAAAATTTTATAAATTGGAAATTAGCCTAGTGATGGCTAATAAATGGTTTTGGTGGTTAAGTGATACTATGTGAATGGTTGGTTTAATATATGGACCATTGGGATGGATTATGGCTCATAGACCCAAGTTGTGTGGTATGAGTTATAGTCTTCATTAATGCTATTTGACATGATAAGTGATGTGGATTACTTATATGTTGTAGGAATTATTGGTGGAATTTGTTTGGAAGTTAAGGAACAAGCCAAGCCCTATTTTGTACAAGAGGAACCCTTTTGGTACTAAAAGGTTGAGGTAACAGGGGAATTTATATTTCTTATTACTTCGTTTTAGCTATTTTTGAATAAATATTACTAGCTATCATGCATTACATGTTTTAAAAGATTAAATGTGCTTTGTAAGGGGTTATGGGGTACTACTTTGATTATAGTACAAATATGTTTTCTAATGTTTAACAACAATGTTTTTATGGAAACGAGATTTGTTGCATGTATCATAATCATAAAGAATAGAAGTTGCACTTAAGGAAGTGTAACTAAGTAAGGTACCTTAGATAGGCTAAGGAACTGTTTAAGGGAGATTTATAAATATTATACTACCTTAGAGTGTTGAAGTGGTCAATACTCGGGAAAGGTAGACATGAATAAAAGGCATGATCTCGGTGGGAGTTCACCAATGAGAAGGTGTGGACTTTTGATATTCTATGGCACACTGTCAGTACTCAGTGTTGCCTTACATATTGTGGGCTCAGTGCACTAAAGTGGTTAGTGTATTGAGTGTTCGACACCTCTCAGTGGGGGAGGGAATCCGACATATGAAGTGTGAGGTTGAGTGCCTAGGCCAAGGTAGCCCTCACATGGAGAGTAAGTCGGGCTGGCTCTGGGAGGGAGTTAGCTTTGACTGCTCAGGATTCACGTCGAAGGGGCATAGGCGGTTCAGTGGATTAGATCATGCCTTAGATTATCTTTGTGCCTTTGGAGGTACAAGTAGGTATAAAGTTTACCTGCGAGTTAAAGAGTGCTAGGGGGCATTCTGTTGGTCATGAAAGGCCATACCGGCCTAGGTCATGCATTCATGCATTTTAAATGGCTAAATTATACTATGTTAAATTTATTATTCGTTTATTTGATTATGACTTGCTTTGTAATAATCAATGTAGATTTCTCTGTTACTGAGACTGTGGTTGTCTTACCCCTTTCTTTTCAATATTCTAGGTCCAGGCGAAGGAACCAGTGGAGGACGGGGAAAGGAGCAGAGCTAGGGGTTGTTTGTGAATTGTAAAGAACTGCAACCCATTTCTATTGAGCAAATCTATTGTAATGTATTTAGGATTAGGGTGCCAATAGGATATAATTATGTATATGTGCATGAGTATGTGTGGATTGTATGGCTTGTGTATGAATTTTTGTTTGCTTGTATACTTGTGACTAGGAAACTTGGCTATGGTGTGTGGTTTTGATGGATTTATTTAGTAGACTAAGTTTCCACTATAAGCAAATATTTATTTTGATATATATGTGATTCCACAAGCAAATGCAAAGTGGTTGCATTGCAAATGGTGTGCTATAGGCAAACATATACCTTGGATAGAGAGAGTGGGTGCGTGGGCCCCACAGAGATCTCTGAGCCAAGTGAAAATGTTTATCGTGTGTATTCATATGTGTATATGATATTTGGAATAGTTTTTTTGACCACTCTTGTGTGATTTGTGCATTTTGGGGGTTTAGGGTCCATTTTGGGAAATGGCACCCGAGTGGTCAAATTTTAGTATAAAGGATTTTTCTACCATTTAAATGTTCTATCAGGTGTTTTTAGTCCTATTTGACGTGTCCAAAGTGTTCCCATAAGTTTGTGACCATTAGGATGAGATCTGGACAATTTTGAAAATGGTTTTTACCAAAAACCCATACTTTTGCATCCGGGTGTCCAAATCTTAATCCGACCGTTGGATTTCTCTAAAATTTGGGTCACAAGTAAAACCTTTTATAAGCTTCGTGTGGGCTTTAGAATCATGTCGATCAGATATCGGATGGAGAAACAGCGCACTCTGGAATTTGGTCCGAAGGAGCTGTCATGACAGCAAAAGTGCTGTCATGACAGCAATAATTGATAATGTTGCAACATGTGCGAAATTTAATCCGTCCATTGGATCTTTCTAAAATTTGGTATGCTAATAGTACTATTTAAAAATGACATGTGGGATTTGGAATCACTCTGATCGGAGTTCAGATGATGAAATAGTGCACCCCGGAAGTTAGTCCGGAGGTGCTGTCATGACAGCTTTTTAGCTATCATGACAGCAAAAATAGCCAATCATTTAATATGTCTAATTTTTAATCCAATCTTTAGATCTTTTTGAAATTTGGTACACTTATAGTACCCTTTGAATGTGACGTGTGAGATTTAAAATCACTTCGATCGGAGGTTGAATGACGGAATGGCGCCTCCTGGAAGTTGGCCCAGGAGGGCTGTCATAATAGCAATAAATTACTGTCATGACAACATCTTTTTATTCCATTTTTGTCTAGCTTGCTTTCGTGCGCTATAGGTAGAACCTATAATTGTTTTTAAGGTTTTAAATGATTTATTTCTTAAATTGGTTAGAGGATCAACTCCTTAACCACACTTAGTTTATTTGAATTATGTGATTTTTGGATAATACTCGGGGCACTGTTACATTTGGTATCAATTTTAGGTTTATGATTCCTCTTTCCTACTTGGCACCTTAAATACATTACTCTTATGCTCTTTCCCTTCTACCACTAACCTGGACTAATATTGTTTTTCTTTCTCTAGCTTGTTCCTTTAGGAGGCGAGAAAGGTCCATACGCTTGTGGCCATACACTTTTCAGTTCTAATATGGCTCGAAGGGGAAGAGGTAGATCGAGGAATGAGGAATGACCACCACCTCTACCTCCTCCGCCTCCGCCACCGCCTCCATCTCCACCACCACCACAGGGGACGGATGCAGTCATGGCTAGGCTGCTTAAAGTGATGGTGGATATATAGCAAAATCTTAGAGGTCGTGCTGTTTCAAATCAACATGTTGACCCAGATGTTGGGCAGGGATCTTCTAGTGCTGTGGGAGCTTAGGAACCGATTGCTATAACCGAGAGGATGACATATCCGGACCTTAGAAGGAATTCTCTCGCTCTAATCCAACCACATATGATGGTAGTATGCTTGATGGGAAAGCCGAGGAGTGGTTAGATCGGATGGAGCAGTTATTTACTGTTGTGAGGTGTACATCTGAGCAAAGGGTTATCTTGGCTACGATGTAGCTTGTTGGTGAAGCCAAGCATTGGTGGGATTCTGTTAAGCCCATAGATGGAAGATCTATGTCTTGGGCTGAATTTAAAGAAAGATTTTATGATTTTCACTTTCCACCAGCTTTCAGAGATGAGAAAGAGGCAGAGTTTCATGCGTTTCAACAAGGGGACTTAGACGAGGAGACTTTTATGAGAAAATTCAATCAGTTGTCTAAGTTCTCAATATATCTGAAGGCTTCTAATGATAGCAAGTGGAAAGCAAAGAGGTTATTAGAAAAGATGAGGCCAGAATACTGCCAGCAGCTATCTTTGCTGGGCGAGGCGACATATGATGAGATGTGCAATCGTCTAAGGATTGCCGCTCGCCGAGGCTGAGACACAGAGAGTAGCTGGAGTAGGGATACACGAGGTCAATTTTCTTCTAGGTTGGCTCCTACTGGTGGTGTATCCAAGAGAATGGGTTTTAGCTTTGGTTCTTCTTCTGGTAGCTTCTTAGAGCCGGGTTTTCTTCTGCTTCTAGTAATCAGAATGTAAATAGGGGTTCAAGATTTCAAGGTAATCAGGGTGGTAATATGAGATCTAGGGGTTCTTGTTTCTCTGGGAATGCTCCAGCACGTTCTTCATAGGCCAATCAAGCCCCAATTCTGAGCACAACGAGGTCAACTTGCAATAGATGTGGTAAGGTTCATTCTAGTCATTGCTTTGCTTGTTACAAGTGTGGAAAGTTAGGCCATTTGATCCGTGACTGCCCTGATTTACATGAGAGCTCGGACTGAAGGAACGTGATTCTCAGTAGAGTGTATACAGTATCTCAGGAGGAGGCTAGGAAGTCATCGAATCTTATCACTGGTATGGTTTCTATCTGTGGCCTCGATTTAGAAGCTTTGTTTGATTGTGGTGCGACACATTCTTTTATTTATGCCGAGCGCTTAGATAGAATGGGTATGCTTGTTGACTAGTTGCCCCATGATATAGAAGTTTCCTCTACTTCTGGTTTGGTTGGTCGATCCAGTGTGGTGTGTAGGACTAAGATGACTTTTAATGGGTGATCGACTTGGGTAAATGTGATCAATTTACCTATGCAAGGGATTGATTTAATTATCGGTATGGATTGGTTAACAGCTTATGGTGCTGTCTTAGATTGTGTGGCTAAGACAGTGACTTTGGTAGAAGTACTGGAGGTGATCGAGGAATACCCTGGTCATTCTTGTTTTCTTTCTTCTTTGCAAGCTGAAAGGTTGATTGAGCAGGGTTGTAAGGCTTACGTGGTAGTGCTCGCTACCCAAAGGTTTGAGACAGGTATAGTGGATGAAATTGAGGTTATTAGGGAGTTCCCGGAGGTGTTTTCAGAGGATGTGTCAGGATTACCTCCAGAGCGTGAGGTTGAATTCTCGATTGACCTGGTACTAGGGACTCAACCAATTTCAAAGGCTCCCTACAGAATGGCTCCTTCAGAGTTAGCTGAGTTGAAGAAGCAACTTGAGGAGTTGTTAGATAAGGGATTTATTAGACCTAGTGTTTCTCCTTGGGGATCCCTTATCTTATTTGTGAAGAAGAAGGATGGTAGTTTGAGATTATGTATCGATTACAGGCAGTTGAATAAGGTTACGGTGAAGAACAAGTACTCACTGCCTCGCATCGATGATCTCTTAAATCAGTTGGTTGGTGCCATGATTTTCTCTAAGATTGATTTACGTTCAGGGTACCATCAACTGAGGGTTAGTGAGAAGGATGTGGCAAGACGGCTTTCAGGACTCGATATGGTCATTATGAGTTTTTGGTTATGCCATTTGGGCTTACTAATGCGCCTGCGGTTTTCATGGACTATATGAAACACATTTTTCGACCTTTCTTGGATCAGTTTGTGGTGGTTTTTATTGATGATATACTGATCTACTCTAAAGATGAGGAGCAGCATGCTAGACACTTGAGGACTGTCTTAAGGTTTCTGCGAGATCATAAGCTATATGCCAAGCTCAGTAAATGCGAGTTTTGGATGAGAAAGGTTAGGTTCTTGGGACATATCGTGTCGAAAAATGGTATTACAGTTGATCCATATAAGGTTGAAGCGGTCTTGCAATGGGAAAGACCAAAATCGATAACAGAGATCCGTAGTTTTCTGGGATTAACAGGTTACTATCGGCGTTTTATCAAAGGTTTCTCTCAGATTTCTATGCCTTTAACTAGACTCACAAGGAAGGATAGGCCATTTATCTGGGATGATAGGTGCGAGACAGCTTTTCTTGAGTTGAAAGAAAGGTTAACAATAGCTCCAGTATTAGTGATTCCAGATCCTCAAAAGCCCTATGATGTGTATATCGATGCCTCTTATAAGGGTCTTGGTTGTGTTCTAATACAAGAGGAGAGGGCAGTGGCATATGCATCTCGACAACTTAGGCCACATGAGGAGAATTATCCGACGCATGATCTCGAGTTAGCTACGGTGGTCTTTGCATTGAAGATCTGGCGTCATTATCTTTATGGAACAGAGTTCAGGGTCATGAACGACCATAAAAGTCTCAAGTACCTAGTGGATCAAAAAGAGCTAAACATGAGACAGAGACGTCGGATGGAGTTTCTTAAAGATTATAATTTTGAATTTAAGTATCATCCAGGAAAGCAAATATGGTAGCAGATGCTCTTAGTCGCAAAACCTTACATGTAGCCTATTTAATGGTTCGGGAGCATAGATTGATAGAGTCTTTAGTTGAGACTTCTCTGGGTATGACTGAGTTCTCTTTGAATGGTCTTAAGACTATGGTTATTTCCAATGAATTTTAGAAAGAGATACGAGATGCTCAGCTTCAAGATCCGATTTTATTAAAAAAAGTCAAGACATCGAGAATGGTGAGACAATGGACGAGTTTGGGATGATGGGTATGTGGTTTTCAAGGATAGGGTGTGTATTCCCAACAATGAGTCTATTCGAAAGAAATTATTGGATGAGGTGCATCGAAGTAGCTACACTCTTCATCCCGGTGCTACTAAGATGTATCATGACATGC